TACAAGCACCCAATGATAAATGTAAACATATTGTATACTTAAAATGTACCAATAAAAGAATTTAAGCAAAAAAAAAAAAAGCAATGGCTAAGAGTGTACAATTCACAGAAGAAAAATTAAAATATATGATAAAAACATGAAATGCTATTTCATTATCATTTAAAATTACAGGAATAACAATTAAAATAAAAGCTTATTTTTTAGTATAGATGGGGGTGCTTTAAAAGATGAAACTGGTGGGGACCAGCGTATGGGGGACAGCAGCTCTCCCATGTTTCAGCTGTTTCTGGTGGAAGGAGCCATAGGGTGCACAGCGTGGAGACACACTTTCCTGGGTCTAGCAGTGCTATGCACAGAAACTCACTGCAGACACAAACATGCCCACATATGCATGCTCAATGGCGACCGCTGCAGCACTGCCTGCAACCCTGGGATTACAGGTTTGCACTGCCATACCCAGCTTAATATTCTGCTATTAAACACAATAAAGTCAATGTACTAGCAAGAAAATAACTCTAAGAAATACTCTCAAAGGGCTGGGGATTTAGCTTAGTGGTCCCACCGCCTCCCTTGCAAGCGCAAGGTCCTAAGTTTGATCCCAGATACCAAAAAAAAAAATACTCTAAAAAATGATAATTATAATTAGTAACCAAAAAAAAACCCCTAAAATTATCACAGTTGTGCTAAAAAATTAAACTGTAATAACCATACCATCCAAAGATCCAGAAAAATCACATTAGAGTAAGAAGGGTGCCTTCCAGATAAAGATAGTAATGACAGACATGTTTCCCTTTTTCCTTTTTTTTAACTACCAATCCTTCTTGGATGTTCAGATCTGTGTGCTATTTGTATACTGCTTTTTTAAACAGGTAATAGTGGTTGTCATTAATCAATAGGGCTATTTTTACCCTCCTTTTCCTTTACATATTTTGGCAATTTTCTATAATGACTACAATTTATGAGAGGGAAGAAAGGTAAAAGACTAAAGATCTAAGCAACATTATCTTGGATTGAGTCAGTCCAGAGATTTCTAAGCCACTTATTTCTGCAGTCAAGGAAATTAGGCCAGTGAAAAAATGTGAGGTCATACAGATTATAACTCAAATCTGAGACTAGTTTTAAGATATGCTAGAAATTTTAATTAACACTACATATTCTTACAGGGATGACTTTCTTTTATTATTTTAAGTACAACTCTGCTTTTAAACTATTTCTAAATCATGCTCTAGCTTTCCCCTACCCACCCAGTACTAAGAACTGGACCCTGGGTTCCTCCTTCCTTAGCCTCCCAGAGTGCTAGGCTTACAGGCACGTACCACCACCAT